CTGGGGGATTGAGTCAGTCATCATGTTCAGGCACCTCATGCAATCTGAGATGCCTGATGGGATCCTGCCCGCTTCTGCCGCTCTTAAGGGCACAGATACCCCTGTGGATATCCCTTAAATACCTTAAGCCATTTCAAGCCATGCTTATTTCAAGGTAACTAACTGAATTACACCTCCATATGGGGACTGATTAAATCCTTACTGGCTACAGCGGAAACGTAGATATGTAGCTCACATGCTTTTAAAAACATAGGCATTTTACTCTTTCCACAGTGCTGGTGAATATCAGACCAATGATTCAAGTCTTGTAACCTCCCACCAGGTTCTTTCCTCTCATTTAAAGAACGCACCATGAAAAACATGATAGGAACTAGAAGACTATGAGCTTTATGACTCCAGCACCAGATACAAGACTGCCTGAAATCAGACCACAAAAGTTTCATAAAAGTGCAGAGGTCCTGTACAAAACGCAAAGCTTCAGGATTTAAAGCATCTATTGAAATCGAATTCCCACAGTCAAAACTGTTTCTTGCTTCACTAAAGATATATGGTTAAATCATTTTCTCATCCTAGTCTGAATTAACCAAACTTCCACCCAGCTTTGCAGCCTGGAAGTCTCCATATAACAGACTGGTGTAATCGGTGCAGGGACGCTCCCCACAGTCCCTCTCTGAAGGACTTTAATCCCCTGTGCAGCAGTCCTCCATAGTTTGCACTGAGATTGAGACGAGGCATTTTGGATGTCATCTCCCGCACTGAACAGGGAAGTCTTCTACCACTTGCACAGTACCAAGTTTTTGCATGGATTTAATCCATGCAAATACACTCGCTATAATGAATGGTTTTGCAAAGACAAAGAAGTGTTAAGATAGACTTTGCTGTTTATAAGTGGATATTGTTTATAGTGCTTATCCTGAGCTAGCAATCAGTCTAGGTGTTACCATCAGGTGTGGTCAATAAATGACTAATCTGTTTGACACATCAAATTACATGTGTGATTAATCCCCTCTGATCGATACAATTGATAATAGCTTCTAAACAAAGCTTTATTTCCAGACTGCACTGAAATTGTGTGTTTCCTTAATTCAACTCATTTAATTAGAAAGGACAATAAATTGGTTGTTAAACCTCAAGTAATTTTCTTTTGGCTAATAGGATGTTGAATGCGGAAGGTAATTGTTGGGGGCTGACCTGCTGGAAAGCAGCTCTGCAGAAAAGGATCTGGGAGTCCTGCTGGACAAGAAGTTAAGCATGAGCCAGCAATGTGCCCTTGTGGCCAAGAAGACCAGTCCTGGGGTGCATTAGGAAGAGTGTTGCCAGCAGGTCGAGGGAGGTGATCCTCCTCCTCTACTCAGCCCTGGTGAGGCCTCACCTGGAGTACTGTGTCCAGTTCTGGGCTCCCCAGAACAAGAGAGACATGGCACTCCTGGAGAGAGTCCAGCGGAGGGCTACAAAGATGATTAGAGGGCTGGAGCACCTCTCCTAGGAAGAAAGACTGCAAGAGCTGGGCCTGTTCAGCCTGGAGAAGAGAAGATTGAGAGGGGATCTCATCAATGTCTACAAATATCGAAAGGGAGAGTGTCAAGAGGATGGGGCCAGCCTCTTCTCCGTGGTGCCCAGCAACAGGACAAGAGGCAACGGGCACAAACTGAAACACAGGAAGTTCTGTCTGAATCTGAGGAAAAATTTCTTTCCTGTGAGGGTGACTGAGCACTGGAACAGTTCCCTAGAGAGGTTGTGGAGTCTTCTTCTCTGGAACTATTCAAAACCCACCTGGACATGATCCTGTGCAATGTGCTCTAGAGGACCCTGCTTGAGAAGGGCGGTTGGACTAGAATTCTGTGATTCTGTAACACATAAATGTCCATAAATCAGAGTATTGCATTGTGGATGGCAGGGAATCACAGAATCACAGAATCGTTTAGGTTGGAAGGGACCTCTGGAGATCATCTAGTCTGACCCCCCTGCTCAAGCAGGGTCCCCTAAAGCACATTGCCCAGGATCACATCCAGACGGGTTTTGAATATCTCCAGCGAAGAAGACTCCACAACCTCTCTGGGCAACCTGTGCCAGTGCTCTGTCACCCTCACAGTGAAGAAGTTTTTTCTCAGGTTCAGATGGAACTTCCTGTGGTTCAGTTTCTGCCCGTTGCCTCTTGTCCTGTTGCTGGGCACCACGGAGAAGAGGCTGGCCTCATCCTCTTGACACTCCCCCTTCAGATACTTGTACACGTTGATCAGATCACCTCTCAGGCTTCTCTTCTCCAGACTGAACAGGCCCAGCTCTCGCAGCCTTTCTTCACAGGAGAGGTGCTCCAGTCCCCTCATCATCCTTGTAGCCCTCTCAATTGAATCTCAATTGCTTTCCATTCTCCTTCCCTGTGGGACTGAACTGTGTTAAAGTTCTGCTTTTTCTGGAAGATTTAGCAAGGATGTTTTATGCTATGATTTTTTTTCTTTCCAGAGCACTCCTTAGACTAAATGGTAATTGCCTTCATAATTTGGGAGCTGCAAGATCTCTCTCCACCAAAAATCCCCTACCCAAAGTTTTATTTTGCAACTGTGCTCAGTCATATTCATTGAGTTAGGGAACCTCACTAAAGAAAAACAGCATTTCTACCTACTTGTGCTCACATAGTTGTGCCGTGGACACTTCAAGGGGGAAACATGGCATTCGGGCACTTAAAAGTTAGCTGTCCATGTGACTTTCAAAACAGGTGTCTTCAGAAGATAATTCACCTGATGTATCATAGCCACTCATTAAAAGCCAGATTAATTGCTCTTTAAAGATGCCTGTTTCTGTTGACAGCAAAGGAGGTCGTGAGTGCCTCACTCAGATTCAGATGTCTAACTCTTAAATGCCTACTGATGCATGGGGGCAAATGGATGCCAACCGCTTTTCGCACAGTTGGTGCTGTAAGATTTGGTTGGACACATGCTGTGGAGAAACATGTCCACACACACACTTGGTCCATGTTAATGTAATCACTGACCGTTTTGATCCAGGATGTGCATACGTACACAAATGACATCTTACATTGACTCAAGAGTAACAGATGCTCTCTTGGTGAACAAGAATATTTCATAGTGCTCACCATCGTGATTTCACAATCAGTCTAATTTAATAGCTATGAATAGAGGAAATGTAAAATCCTTTCAATCCAGCATTTCAACATTCCAGTATGAAAACCAACCCCAACGATTTTTAGATACTTGCTACTGCTTGGATATAAAGGGGTTGAAACATGACTGAATATATTTTTACGTTGGAACAGGGCAAAATATTTTCAACAGTTTACTCAGTAGAGAGAAAGAGAAAAAAATGTTTTGGCGTATACCTGGGTGAATTTAGGCACTAATCTGCTGAGACTTTCCAATGGAGGAAAAAAAAAAAAAAATGAGGAAAACAATTTTGAAAAAGCAGGAAAAAATATTTGCCGCAATACTTATTCTTCTATTTTGAACGTAACTGTATTTAACTGAATTTCTTTAAATTCCCCTGATATTAAATAAAATATTTAGTTGGCTTTCAAATGAATGTTTTTAACTACTCCAACTTTTCCTTTCTTTACTAGATTCCAAGAGAACATTTCTTCAGACTGCTCTATTTTAACTGTATAAGGATATTTGAAGTATTTTCCAAATCAAAGGAAGCCATAGCTTAGCAGATAAAAGCAGGGGCCAAAAGCCATCCTTGCATCAGTAAAGCTCCTCCAGGGATAGGCTTGGAACAAAAATGTTACTCTACCATTAATACAGAGCAGGCAGAGCAACCCTTCTGTCTAGGCTAATCAAAAGCAACAGTGAGCGAAAGAGGATAAGACATCTTTCACTCTTTCAAGAGGTGGGATGGAAATGTCATGCAGGATATGCATCTTCCCACACCCTTCCCTGCCAGTGTGATCCCTTGTTTTCAGATCCTGATGGTCTGTCATTGGCCCTACACCTTTTTTACTCACAACATCAGGAGCTGTAACTTGAGTGAGGCACTTGGAGGAGGAGAGGGTGAACATCTAAGAATGAGGCAGTCCTCACTCTTGGGGCTTTGACAACATCGCTGTGGACAGGACAGGACCAATAACTCCAGCATTCTCTCTGTGACCTCTAGAGTTCAGATAGATGTGCCAAAACCTCCCTCTCCTGAGCTGAGTACAGGCTGCCCACCGGGGACCTGCACTAGTTCTGCACTGCCAGGTGCTGCAGCCTCTCTCCTGCTCTGACACCTCACGTGCCAACATGTGGTGTGCCATGGCTGGGTCCTCAGCAGAGGCACAGCTCCATGGCTGCTGCCTGAGCCTCGGATGGGGAACCTTGGCAGGCTGGAGAGCAATGGTAGCATCACTGACCACGTGCTCCTGACCCTCCTCTCCTGATCACTGAGGAAGGGAGTGAATTAGGGTCCTGGAAAGTGTTCCAAGAGGACTGCCTCATGTGGTGTGCGCTCCATGTCACATGAACAACAAGGGGCTCTGCAGCCACCTGACCCACCCTCACACATATCTTGCAGCCTTGGAGCACATCCCTCCTGCCTCTGCTCTGCCTCCAGGACAGAAGCAACCTTGGCACGGGGATGGGAGAGCAGTTCAATAGAAAATGTAGAGGTGGCCATGATTTCCCCTGAAGCCAAGCAGGGCCCATGAGAATTTCAGTCTTTCAGAGCCCAGGGAGGAGTTGTTCAGGCAATTCCGGTTCACAGACAGGCATCTCTCCCTTGGCTTGAACACACTGAGACACCTAAGCTAGGCTTTCCCAGCCAGGAGATGGTGGGTGATCTCCAGGGAGCTATTCAAACTTTTGATTGAATCACACTTTGGAAGTGCCTACTTCTCTCCACAGACTTCTTGCAATGAAAGTGCTCCACACTGGCTGGAGTGAATCCAGCCACAGGATCTGCTGCCCTGCTCCTGCAGCAGAAGGAGTGAGAAACAGCACAGCCAAGGTAGATGTGAGGCTAGGTCATATTGGCTTGTGGACCAGGGAGGGAAAAGAGCTGCCCCATACCTGAAGTCTGGTTATCCCCGGTCAGCTCTGCCAAGCACTGGTTGCGCTCCTCTTCAATCTCCTGCATGATGCTGCACTCCGGACGTGTGCTGGATGTCTACAGAAAGGGTAGAGAAGAAGAGAGTGAGGCCAACTCATCTTAGGGATGTGTTCCAGGGGATTCACGGCCAGCCAGGCTCTCTTAGGTTGCTGCATAACAGCCTTATTTTAAAATTGCTCGAGAGACAGGAACGTAACTCAGTGACAGCTAAAAAAACAGCATTTCCTTCCTTGACCTCCTCGAAAAATCTGCCTTTTTCTGATGATTAGGAGCAGTCCTGCTTTGTTATTCCCTGGGAGCCCTGCTTGACCAACCTAACACCAGCAGCTATCTAGGGCAGAAAAATGGCAGCTTTAAAATTCATGCCAGGAGCAGCAGGATCTCTGCTTACACAGATCTCTGCTTATTTATTCCCTCCATGCTCACGCAGTCTGCCTTCTGGCTCATGCTAACTCAAAGTGAACTCAAAGCCGAACCAATGGCTAAGAATGAAATCTCAGGTGCAGATTAAGAGATTGGGAAGCTAACAAGCAGGAAATTCCCAACGACAAAACCTTTTCCCCCAAGTGGTTTCCCCTCAGTAAGATCTAATAATATTATGTTTGCAATATAACAGTGTCTATAATCGGGGACTCCTAATATCATATACTTTGTGAACTACCTCAGTCACAAAATGTGGATCGTAACAATCTGTGCTCCAAAAAAGGAGCCAGGAGCTACATTAGGGGCTACATATTATAGTTCTGTTAACATTACCAACATATTCTCAATTTGGAGGGAATACCTGACTTCCCTGCTACGGCAATAGCAAGTAGAAATCAAGATACTATTCCACAAGGCACTGTACAAAACCGAACAAGAAACATCTTATCTTTCAAAGAGGTTGCATTCAGCCAGAGAAACCTATTCAGAAACTCAGCTGCAAACAGAGAGTGAAAGAGAAATGATGCGAAGAGTCCCAGCTCCAGGTTATGTGTTCACTGTTGACCGCAATGTAGGAAAAATATGAGATGAGTGAGCTTCTGGGACAGAGCTGAGGGGCACAGGAGCAGCCTTTTCATGTTCGAGCTCACTGATTCAGCATTCGCTATTGCTGAATTTGGAAAAAAGCACATATTTTTATTTGAAATAAGCACAGAAAGAAAAAAAAAAAGATCTTTTCATACATCTCATTTCAAAATGTTTAAGGTATTTTTCTACCCATATATTTGCCAGCCAAGTTTTTTTTAAGATAGAAGGCCCAGAAATCATTTGAGGGAGCAACTGTTTGACATAAGTTGCCCTTTGGATTAAAATTATAAAGTAATGTAGCATATTAACTTCTATTCACATCGTCTCCTGTTAACCCAGCTTGGTCTCTTCTCTCTTTCACCAGGTGTCTTGCTCAGATCACAATTTCCTTTAAATTGCGAATGGGCCTTCATTACTCATGTGTAAACAATTAATTATGTGCTTTGCCAGTCCATAAGGAGGTGAATAATTTGGAGTTGTCTTGCTATTCACAAGTTTCCTTTTTCCAAAGTGAAACAGATCTTCAAAATTTTTATTCTGGCTCATCTGAAATACCACAGACTCACTTTGTTTTAATTTCTAGTGCTTCTTCCCTTTTTGTTTTATCTTTTAAAAAAGTGAAGGGTTTCCAGAACACCTGTTTAATAAGAAATATTGAAATGTTCTCTTTTCAAAACATTCTGACTTTTTCCAAGGAAAGTTAAAATTCTCTGGACTTAAACTACTGCCAAATTCATCTCACATTTATAAATAGCTTGGGTTTTCACTTTATAAATTAATGCATACAGCTCTAACTTTGATCAGGGTTCGCAAAGCACTGTGTACTTTTACAACATAATTTTACAGTTTTTTATGCAGCAAATTTTCTCCCAAGCCCCTTAACAAGTACTTCACAGCCCTTCACTAAAAATTCAAGCCTAGATTAGTTGATTGCATATTTACCTCTATAGCTTGATATTTACTTTTGAGTAAATGTTTCATCACCTTTCGAAAAACAGAGGCCGATGCATTGTTAGCATTCAGAAAAGTGGGCTCTTGACAGAGTCACAAAAATTTGTACAGCTGTAATTTTAAAAATGTTGTCTTTCTCAATCCAGCCCCAGAGGAAAGGCATCTATGCTAGGCAAATAGCACTGGAAAAAACAATATCCAAAAGCTAAACTCCCAAGATAACAGGCAATCTGGCTTTTGTAGCGCTGGTGGCAACTTGCAGCGAGATTTTAAGCAAGATGGGTGGCTCTAAAGCCTGAAGAAGTATTTAGGTGCCCCATCTCCACCGCTTTCAAGAAGAGCTAGACACTGAGGTGGGATTTATTCTCTCCAAGAGAGGCATCTAGTCTCAGCTGAGATGTCCTAGGGAACCCTCCTGGCCAACAGTCTTCACTCCAAGAGGGCATGGTCCCATGCAGATCCTGTGTTGTATCTGCCAGTCCTGTCCAGCTGCCTCAGATATGCCAAGCTCTCTAAAATATTGCTAGATACCTGTGTTCACAGTGGCATATATCTCACTGCTCTCTTGCACACATCTCACTTCATTTCAGCTGGATAAAAGCTATGCGACTAGTCTGAACTAATTTTTACCCTTCCTTCTAGTCAACAGCATCAGCCAGCATCAGCCCTGGAAGAGTTCACCCCCCTTCGCTAGCTGTGGTTGGACCAGTTCAGAATAAAAAACCCGACTGTTTAGCTGCAGAAGGTCAATGATGTGAATTTAATGCCTAAAGACCTGTAACTGAATCAAGGTCAACAGACAGACTCGCATTTGAGGCCTTCTAATTTATGGCTTATTTTCCACATTCACTAAATAAGTAAATAAATAACCCAGACAAACACAGCAACCCCCTTTCTTCCTCCCCAGTGATAACCCTGACAACCTGCACATTGCAGCCACTGTTGTTGCAGGCCAGAAAAAATTAGCAGGAAAACCACGGTTTTGACTACGATTAGGAAACGAGAGAGTGTTCCTTTTTTGTTGGTAGGTCAACAGTTCAGCTGGCAGGATGGTGATAGGGCAATGCGTTTGCTTGCCTTAATTAATCTCCCAATTGACAAAATGCTCATGACTGAAAAGACTCCAATAGAGCTTGGAATTCTGCCTGCCAAGATGTGTTTTCACTGGGATCAGAGGCTAAATAACACTTCTTCCTTTACATATTCCTTCCAGAAAAAGGTTGAAGCAAAGCAGACTTTCTGCATAGCTTGGTAAGAACTCATTTTACTTCTTTCCTAGCCCTTTCTTTCTTTCTTTTTTTTTTTTGCCCTGTGGCGAGTGCAGTGATTTTGGGCTTTGGCATCCTTCACAGCAGTGGGCAGCTGAGCACACAGACATGCGACTGAAGACTACACCAATTCATGTTTCCCACCCAGAAAGTATAGATAAAGGGAAAGTGTGACCAGTTTTGGTTAGTTCACATTAACATCTGCTAGGAAACAGTAATCCAGTTTCCTGGATATATCCAGGATGCGTAGCTAGCTGAAACTCAATAAAATCTCCCTCACTAAGCTCTTCGGAACTTATGAGATATCATGTAAGAATTGTGGTGGATTTGTCAGGGTGCTGTTTTTCCTGCAGGCACTCTTAACTCCTAAGCAGAAAGAGGAAAGCAATATTTTTCTGGACATGCTTGCTGTAGCTCTGAATTCTGCAGCAACTCTTACGAGGAATTATCCCCAAAGTCTTTGTTAATGAGAATTTTCATTCCCACAGGATCCCAACAGTTGTTAGAGGATTATGCAGTCTTCTACTGCAAAGACAGCCACTGTGCACATTTTTTTAATTAAATACAATTCAAAGGATTGTCATAGTCTGAAGGAGCCACAGAAAGGT